CCTAAGCAACCTGTATTGCTTCTTTTGCCTCTTTTTCTCAACCATAAAATAGGGGATCATAAAAACATAGTGATGGTTAAATAAGTTCATTAGAAATAAATTCTATGGTTAAAAATGTTATTTATTTGGCTGCTCGACAAATGGCAGCGGTTATTATTCGTGTCCTGGGGCTCGTGAGACCACATTGTATTACCTTGCCGGGCATCCATGATTACCAACTACTGCCGTGGGCAGTAGGGAGCTATAGAGAGTTTTATGCAGGGAGGGGACCTCATTGCACCTAAATCTCATGTTCCTCACATGGAAAATGGTAGCGACAACCCCTGTCCTGCCCTCTCTTTGGTGCTATTGTGGGGATGGACAGAGAGCAGGGTGTTGGTGTTGGCGAGGGCGAAGCTTCCATCTTCTGCAGTCTGAGGCTAAGCATGAAGGAGCTGGAAAAGAAAACCTTGAAAATAGCGACCACTTGCCTGTCCTCCCCTGATCTCCGGATCTGGCTACCAGAGCAGGCACTTCCCCTCTTGCATCTCCCACCGATCCCGCTCCCATGCCCACATTCACCTGCATTTGGGGGGTAGGGGTAGTTCCCCTCCTTCCTCCCCTGCAAATCCCCAGACCGGGAAAGGAAACGAAACCTGAACTCCACGATCCCCTGCCGCTCACAGCTGACTAGCAGCGGCCACACCCTTTTGCAGGTCCTGGCTGATGACTAATCAGAGCCACGCCCTTCAGCAGGTCCACACTGTCCTGCTGCCCACAGGGCAGGACGAAGTTCCTGTTCTTGAGCCTGGCTTACTAAGTCCTGAGTGCTCTGGCTGCTGATGACAACTGTAACATCTCTTTTCCTGTCCCTTTACCTGTCGGCCAGTGGAAACCCTTCCAGTCATTCCTAACGAACCATGTTTTCTCACCTTCAGCCTTTTGTCCTTGCTGTGCCCTCTGCCCAGAACATTTTTCCTCTGTTTGTCACCTGGCTAATGGCTACTCATGTTTCGGGTCTCAGCTGGGCAATCCCTTCCTCCAGGAAGCCCTCCTGGACTCCCGGGCTGGGCAATGCCCCCTTAGGCTTCCCTGTCCTAGCCCTTCCCAC